TCTATAAATAGGAGTTGACTCCCCCTCATTTTCACACGTTGGTGAAAAATCTTTGAGAGAGAATCTTTTACTTTGAGAGATTTTGTCTTTCCCTGAGAACCTTTCTGACTGCTTATTGCATGACCGCCTGTTTTTATAGACGACCGAGGACTTTACAAGTGACAAGGTAAAGTCGTATCCCCAAATCAAAAGTAATTCCTAAATCCTCTAATTAATGTAGATAGGGAAGTAGGGTCGAACTCCACAGGGAAACAAGTCTTTCTATTCCTAATTAACTAATATAATCTAGATTATGAGGTAACCAATATTTATAATTGAATAATAAACTAAACTACGGAGATCAAGAATAAGGAGAAAATAATATATAAAAGTATCTAGGGCATAGGTTCACTAATAAATAATATTCCAAGGTAGAATATAATAATCATTCATCAATGCATATATTAATCAGATTATAAAGGGCTTTCGCTACGTATTATAATCACACAATTAATTTACCGGTATTAAATCTCATCTTTCGAATCTCGACTTAACCATTTATAAATTAACCTGCCTATTGAAACTAGACCTAAACATCAATTTTCATCTGTCGAATCTCGAATCAATATTGTCAAACTCATGCATAAAAGATCAGGCCTAATCTAGTCACAGAGCATTATATCAATCAATAGGAAGTTAATCTAGCATTGACAATTAACAACAATAAATTACCCCTTCATATTATTTATGGATCCCCATAAACCCTAGAAATAGAACTACTCACACATAATAGGAACTAAAAAAATCAAAGCAATAAAACAAGACATAATTAAAGGAATAAAATAAACAACTAAGATTAAGAGAAGAGAAATAGTTACCAAATAAATCTGGAATTAAGAATGGATTAAGATTAAGGGTTTAAGAGAGAGAGAATCTAAGAAAACAATTAAGAGAGTAAAGAAAGTGTAAAAAGAGAGAGAGAGAGAGAGAGAGAGAGAGAGAGAGAGAGAGAGAGAGATAGAGAGAGATCCTAAAATCGTATTACGGAGGAGTATTTATACTTCGTACAAATCCTAAACTAAAACAAACTAAAACGACGCTAATCGTCTCCTAATAATTACACGCGCCCGATCGGGTGCGCCTTTTTGCTATTCAGGTTGAATCTCGCGCCCGGCCGGGCGCGTCAACGAGCACCGACCTTTGCTTCTCCCGCCCGGCCGGGCGCGCCTCCGGGCGCCAGCCTTTTTGGCCGGGCGGCTCTCTTGGGCCACTAATTGGACTACGATTGGGCTCCAATTCTTCGGGCCAATCTGGGTTTCCTCCTCGGGTCTTGATTACTCAGTCCAAATGCCCCGGTATCACCTATACCGAACCCTTAATCACCGGTTCGATGGCTCTAACCAGTCCTGGGCTATAAAATCTGGTCGTCCTTCTCCAATGTTTGTGATTGCTCCAAAATATCTCGGGAAAATACTCCAAAAGTGTAAATCCCTGCAAAAGTCAATCAAATCTACGAAAACACTAGAAAACACCAATTAGTAATAAAAGTGGCTCTAAAGAGCCAAAAACACTACTAATTATGACCAAGGGACGGGGGTAAAATACTATATAAAATAGACACATCAACAAGCGTCTACAACTGGCTACAAGGTAACCGCCTATTTTCTTCTTTTTTTTTTCTTTTTTTCTTTTCTTTTTCCATTTTGAAAATGGTTTCCCAAATGCGCACGGCACGGCCTATGTTAGCGATCAGCCGGTCACCAGGGACAGCTTAATCTAGAACTAGGAGTGTCAACTAATCCTTATTGAAATTCCCTTCTAGAAATTCCACAAGTCCGACCGTCTCTGTGTTTTTACCGAACATAATGGCCAGGACAAAGAGAGTTGCTCGGCTTCAAAACTCTGACGGCTCCTTTACGGCGCCTGTGAGTGAGATTTCAGAACATCCGCTTGGTACTCCGAGCACCCCTAGCTCCTAAATTTTGGAGGATTCTGGGAATGAAGTAGAACAGAGAACTTCCGGGCCGATTGACCTGGATTCGGAAAAGGAGCTAAGGGAGGATGCCGCTAGCCATAGCTATCGAACCCAAAATTCGGAATTAGAGCTCGAGGATTCTGATGGTGATTCTGAACCATGTACTTCTTATGGGGGACTCAGTTGATTTAAAGGAGATGTGCTCCCGGATGGGGACGACGAGGGAGTCCCTTTTAGTGGAGGAGGCCGAGCCGTCTTCCTCGCGTTCTATGGAGTTTGTCGCCTATCATCAGCATGTACCTGAGGTTAGGCGAAAGACAATGGCGGATAAATTTGGGAAGTTTATCTCTATGCATGTCATGGACCATGGCTTTCTTCTCATTGTCCCGAATGCTATTGATACGGTAGTATGGCCAGATTAGTCTAGATAATGGGACAAATGTTTTTGCTGCTATGAGGCGGCCATCCAAGAAGATCTTCGCTTTCCTCTCCATCTTGCTGTGGTGAGGATTTTGATGGATACCAACTGGGTATCTAGTAACTTGCCCCTAACTGTAGGTCAACATCATGGGCTTCAGTGCATCCTGTGAAATGCTCGAGGTAGAGCCAAGCTTTGAGGCCTTTGCCCATATTCACTACCTCAGCCAGACCCCTAAATCCAGCAAAGTCGGATAGTTCACCATAACAAGCCATAAGGGTTATATGATGGTCGTTGGGAAAGAGTCCAAGTGGAAGGACTGGACAAGAAAATTTTACATCGTCTCTTCCCTCGACCGTCTGTGAAACAAAAAATAAAACGGTGGAACCGAAACCCTTCTTTGCAATCTGGAGGTGCTGCTCCTGCCACCTGCCCGTAGGAAGGCGAGGGGGGGGGAGTCTTTTCTCATTGATCATCAGATCCAATGAAAGGACGGGGGTGGAAGAAGTAACCCCCTAAAGATACATTAGCCGCTTTCGACTTTAGCACTGAGAAGCCGAGAGGTAAATGGCCGAATGCTCTTTACAACTTTGTTGAACCTTACTTGTTTGTTCATTTCTAACAACTTGCTTTCTTTTGCAGACAAAGAAATGGAAAAGCTTTCGTCCTTCACGAAGCTAGCTGCCCTCTCAGCCGCCCACTATCGTTCGTTTATTGGCAAACGGAAGCACGAGGAGCCTGAATCAAGCAGGACTCCAAAGGTAAGGAAAATTTTTCTTAATTTGAATGAAGTTTTCATTTCTACCTCCTTTATAATTCTTTTAGTTTGTGCAGGGAAGATCATCCAAAGCTTCCCCTTCTTCCTAGCCTGACCCGAAGCTTCAAAAGAAGTCGGGTGGCGATGTAGGCCTTTCTAGCAAGTCTAGAAAGCACATGTACCACAAGCTTGGCAAGAAGGTAGTAGACGCCTCCCACCCCCACACTGGTAGAACACCAACTAAGCCGGATGCCCATGAGGTATTGAAGAGTGGTAAGACACTCCACATTGCTGGCGGCTCAGTAGTGGGTAGGAGTAAACCTCTTGTTGAGGAGGCGGAAGGTATAACTGCTTTTAACCCTTTACCCTATCCTTGTAGGATAAAGTTCAATTAGCAGTCTTTTAGCAAAACAAAAGAAACTCGGTCCTTTGGCTTGATTTACAACATTTATTTACAAAACGTTGAATGTGCAGATGTCCCCCAGAGGCCGGATATCCAGCAACTGGCAAAGATGATGCTATGGGAAATTGCTCCTGAGTAAAAGGTATCCGTCAGAGGAGTCGACACCCTAAAACCTAGATGCCATCCTCGCTCTCCTTGCTAAGGTACAACACTTGTAAAAATTTTGTTAGCTTTACGTAATGTATGTAGCCACTTGATTCCAACACTTTCTACATTTGGTTGAATGTAGGTATTGCTGCGAGTAAACGACCTTAAGAGGCTGATTCTTGACAAGACCAAAGAGATAAAGGCTACGAAATCTCGGGCCGCCTCCTCTCTAGATATAGCAAATTTTGAGATTGCCACAACAAGCTTTTGACACTTGATATGACGTATTCCAGGCGTTGGCCAGCCTACAAGTCAAGACCGATTTGGACACAGCGAGGAGGCAGATAATAGAGCTTTAGAATGAGGTCAAGGATCTCAAGGCCAAACTTGAGCCCCTATAAAAGGCGGGCAGGAAGGTTGATGGGCATAAGGAGACTGTCCACAAGCTAACGAACTGGCTAGGGAACTAGGAGGCCCAACTTGGGAAAAAATTTAAGTCAAGGGACGAGGAAGAAAAGGAAGACTTGGTCTAGAAAATGATGGAAAACTATGACACCATCATGCAGATGACTTGGGAATCCCTTTATCCGGATGTCGACTACCAGGGAAGGAAGGAGAAGTTTGAGGCGGCTAATGACAAGATCAATGCCCAACTTCTAAAGCAAGCCGAGGAAGAGGTGGCAGTAGAGGTCAAGGTTGAGTCGTCCGACTCTTCTAGGGAGTCGTCCTCTGGGAAGATCAGGAGGAGGAGAAGGAGGAGGAGGATAAGGAAAATGATGAGCAGCCGCCCCGAGGCAACAAGGATGATGCGGCTGCCAATGCTGAAAACCTCTCCCCTAATACTTAAGATTTAAGGTTCTTTCTGCGGCCAAATGGCCATTTATCATGCTTTTCGGCCTGCATGACGAGTAACTTTGTTTCTTTACCGACCAAGGGGTCAAGTAATTTAATTCAACAATTTATGTTGGTTGTACCGGTTAACTTTTACAGTCGTCCATAGGGACGTCTGTCTTTTAATGAATCATCAGGCCATGTTACCGGTTTTATCATATTGATTTTCTTGCCTTAAAATTTTTTTGGGAAATTCTCTTTGGTAAACCTCTAATTGTTAAAATTCTCAATGGTGAATTGTAAAAAAAGTTATTATCTTGGTAAACTATATTTTAAAAAATTAAGTCATTTGTAACATTAATGATAGTTATTATGGATTCTTTAACCGTGTTTAACATTACTAAGTAAAAAAAATACCGTGATGCCTAAAATACCCCTATTTAATTTGCCCCAAACTACATATGTCAAATCATTTGGAGAGTGTAAAATTTTAGCCTTCTCTTCATCTTCATTCTTCATCAATTGACATTGTTGATCGCTCATCTTCTCAAAATTGCACTTTGTTTTTATCCTTGAAAAATCTAGGGCTATTTTCAACTTTAATCTAGGATACTGTTTGAAATTGGTAGTGGCAATTGAACATGGTTTGAGTGACATTTGAAGACTTTATGAGGGATTTTGTTAGGGAATTCTGGGTTGTTGAATTCGTGTTTAGGTAAGACGATCGGCATTAATGTTCAAACTTTTTGGTAAATATACCACCATTTAGTCTGAATTGAAGCCAGGTACGTATTTTTGTGTAGTTAACGTTTTTCTATGCTCTTTTTTAATAAGTATATTGGGGTTGGATATGAAATGTTGTTGATGGTATTGGTTATTTTTGTTTGATTAATTATGTTAATTAATTGTTAAAGTCAACCTTTTTATTTGTTTAGGGTTTTTATTATTAGGTAATTGTTGTTTATTGTTAGATTGTTTATACATTTATTTGTTGGATGTTCTTTGGTTTGATTGATGTAGAATGGTTGAAAAAATTGTTCTACAGTTTCAGAATAGGGGTAGAGATGTGTCTGTTATGGTTGACGATGTTGATAAGGTCAATTTGATAGACCTTATTATTGAGTATTGGGAAAAAGATAAGGAGAATAATGTTGAAACACCCTAACATCCCACTTTTCAGTATGTGTATAAAATGAAGCATGTTAACCTTGAAAGTGATGTTGATCTGATGAAGATGTTTGTAATTTTCCTGACAAAATGGAGATATACATATGGGTGGAGATGATCTAAAGGATGTTAAGGTTGTTGCAGCTGCAAGATCAATCACTAATGGTTGGAAAGAAACCAGTTGTTAAACCAATAGCTAATCCAATAGTTGAACCAGTAGCTAAGCCAGTACCTGAACTAGTAATTAGCAATAGGAAAAAACTGACACATAGGAATAAAAAACAACCTGAGTAGGTGGAAGCTGAAGTTGTTATTAAGGCTGACTTTGATAGACATGTTAAGGCATTAGGTAAAACAATCAATGTGAGTGATGAGATTCTAAATTATGACCCAGATGAAACTTGCACTACTACAAAACTTGGAAAAGTGACCCCCAATTAAAGACCCGTTATTTAACCAACGGGTCTATTTGATAAAAGAGATCTAATATTAATTGTAACGGGTCTCTTACATGTATTAATGACAAAATGAGAGAGATAAAATACATGTTGTCAAACTCAACGGGTCTCTTTATTATGTTAGGTCCCACATATTTGGCGTATTAGAAAGATTAGAGACCCGTTCTCATTATCAACTGGTCTTTTACCTTTGTTCCTTGCAGGCTTGCAGCAACAATGAGTGCCTCTATTTAAGTCGTACTCATTTTTTTTAAAAATTGTTTTAATCACTGTGTCCTTAAATTCATTCACCTACTACTCTTAGCTACTGATCTTTACATTGCATTCTTTTTCTTCAAAACCCAAACCCCAAAGTAAAACCCTACCTCATTCCCTCTTTGAATCAGCCGCCGTCACTCCTAGATGGGTGTTTCTCTCTCTTCAATATGTATATACATATATGGAAGACAAACCACGCCAAGAAGCCGGATCTCCGTCACCGGCGCCGAAAATTCCCGTCACATCCTCCACAAAATCTGACGATTCTCTGGCGACAGGATCACCAACTCCTCGCTGCCGAAACAAAAAGTGTAAATCCACCAACACTTCATCACCGGCGGCTTCGAAATGCCACGCTCGTGAGAAAGCCACCACTACAGCAGCCGCCGCTTCCGGCAGATTCTTCTCTCTCTTTCCTCTGACCCACAACGGTCTGATAACCAACATCGGCGGCTCCAAAGCGCCACGCTCGTGAATGATTCGACGGTTGCTGAGGGAGCTAAAGAAGCGAAATCGGCTAAGGTTGAATTTGAAAAGCTTCAGGCTATGATTGATGCTAAATTTGATAAGATTCGAATGCGTGATTCGAGTGTTCATGTTGTTCTTGTTGCTGCTAGTTAGTTTTCAGGTAATTTGTCCCTTTAATATGGTATTCTTTTCTTGATTTTTTAGTTGGTGAGAATTATTAAAGGAGTAAATTATACTATTAGATCTGATCTTGAAGGCTTTGTATAATTATACACCGTAGTTTGTATTGAAGATAAGTTTTACATTAGTCGATGGTCTTCATCGTCGACGCTTTGCTGAAAATTTCTATGGTTAATTGGTTTTTAATTGAGAATAACCTGCAATTACATTCATGATAGCAATTTTTTTTGTGCTTTTATGAAAACCGTTGAATGTGTTTCAAATAATTGTTCTAGTGTAGAATATTTCTTAACTATAATGATGATTTTTTTTTGTTTTTTTTTTGTCAGATTTGCTTCATTCATCAGATGATCAGATCTCACTTTATTCTCAACGGAGATAGGAAATGGAGTACTCAACCCTTATTATTGTAAAATTTTATTTGTTGGAGTTTTATATATTGGATGATCTTTTGGTATCATTCACATCAATTTTACGTCATGTAATAATTTATGTAAATCTCAATAAATTCAATTTTAAATTACAATATATGAATTTTTTGCCAATTTTTATGGAGCATAAATAACAAAATTTTCAAAATTCAAAAGCAAATTGCAAAAATAATTTTTTTTTAAAAAGTAGAGAACAAACAAACCCGTTATTTGACATAATAGGTTTGTTTGATACATCTAAACATACTCTATATTTCACATAACAAGTCTCTTAGTCTTCTAAAATATCAACCTTTTAACCTACCTAACAAACCCACTATAAGTGACAACTGGTCTCTTTGTTCTCTTAAACAAACCCCCCTATTGAACGGGTCTATTTATCAAAGAGACCCCTGAGATATAGACCCGTTATGAAGAGGTCTCTTACGCATATTCAACGGATCTCTTTGGCCATTTTTGTAGTAGTGTTGGGCTGAGAGGGAAGCAAATAGGGAAGGAAACCCTCAACCTAAGGGTAGAGGGAGGGGGGAGAGGGAATGAAAGAGGGAAAGGGAGAGGGAGAGCTTCTAAAAGAGGGAGAGCTTCTGAGAGAAAGAGAGGGAGAGCTTTTGAGAGAGGGAGAGGGAGAGGTTCTGGTAGAGGGAGGGACAGAGGGAATGCCTTAGAGATATGGTTTAACATTTTCCCTATTCAGTGGTAGACTGACCATCCTAATTAAACTGATGAACCAGACCAAAGTAATAATCTTTCTGCAAATGAATACCAGATGCCCCATGGCATCATCACACAAGACAGTCAAGCCCAACCACATACCTAATCTTTGATACCTCCATTGCAAAATATAGGTGAGTTTGGTACTAGGGATAGTTCAGGTGAGGGTGATTCTTCTAACTCCTCTAAGTGTCAGCCTTTTTTCAAAAGAGATTTCATAGGACAACTGCTAAGAGAAAGAAGATTGTGATTAGCAGTAGTGAAAGTGTATTAGGGAGTGAACATCAATTAGTGGAACAAAATAGGAGAAGGACTCTTTCTGTTAGCTTAAGTGAAGATGATTTGGACACTAATCTAGTGCCATTAGAGGATGAGGATGATAGTGAAGATGATGTCTACATCCTTACTGGAAGGTCTAATGAAGATGTGAGTGATGAGTCAGAAGATGTGAGTTTAGAGAATGAAGAAGACTGGCCTAATGATGAGTATGGGCCCATAATTGAAGACAGATATGACCCTTTTGAAGATTAACATTTTGAGTGTGAGAATGAATAGGACAATTATCTAACCAAGTTTTACAACAATGGAGAAGTGTATAAGGATAAGGGACAATTATCTAACCAAGTTGTACAACATTTTGGGTATTTATACCCCGCCAAGTGGCTCAATGAGCGTGTGACACGTGTCGCTCTAAGAGGCGTCCAAATGGACTCCCCAGATGCCGACACCTGTCCTGCAGATATGTCTCCTGGGAATTGGTGGCCTTCAAGGCTAAAATCCCAATGTAGCCGGAAAACGGCGCTGCCCTAATTCTTAGGTCATCAAACCCTAGGACAGGGCACACTTTTCTAGGAACTTATAAATAAGGAGATTCCCCCAATAATTGGGGCAACATCTTAATCATTAGGGCATTTATTGATCTTGATAACAGAGAACACCCGATCTCTGAGAAGATACTTACTTTCCACACATTTTACTCCGAATCCGTACCAACTTAATCTTTGGAGGCAGACCTTCGACCATCCGGAGCTCCATTCATTTTTCAGGTGTAGGTGGCCTTGTCGGATCAAGTCTTCGAGTCGTAACTTTCCCAAGGAACATAAAAGCACCCGAAACATTTGGCACCGTTTGTGGGGAGAGTACCTCGGAGATGGTTTCATAAGAACCTTTATCTCCTTCAGAATACAACCGCCCTACGGTTGAAGCAAAGGTCCATTCGGACCATGACTCTGGTGACGATGGAGACATCGAAACCTATGTGGCCCATGATGGGTCATTTATCTCTAAACGCATCCGTTACAAGGACAGGCAGGAGTGCAATGCAGACTAGGAGGTTACAAGCAAGCCCCCTGGGTAGACAAGCAAACCCCCTGGGTAGCCGTCTGATCCTGTTCAGGTGGCATGATTTGCTCTAGTCACTTAAGACGAGATCATGAAATTCATGACCAGTTTCAATAGTGAAATCAAAGATTTAATCACCAAAAGGACGACTGCTCCAAGGAAGGAACAGTTGGCCAAATAACCAGCTCAAGCTGAGAAACAATAGTCGGTCAAGGACCGCCAGCCCACTCCTCACCCTGCTTCAAAGGAGAAGGCTCAGCCCCATATTGACCTCCCTAGACTCTGTTTGCCAAAAACGACAAAAAGAAAAGCCATCCGGCATGTGCAGTCGGACGATAGTAAAAAGAAATTCTCTATTGCTTGACTCTTCATCGAGCAAAAGAAGAACCAGAAGTTGTCTGAGTCGGCATCCACGTCGACTTATCTAAATATCTTCAAGAAAATACTTCAATGAGGAATTCTCAATATGTACATGGGACTCTATCAAGCGGCCCTCGCGTCCATCTGGGACCCCATGTAATCAAATCGCTGCAGTATATGGCTCAGCCATTATACAGGCCTCCTGCTTTGCCTTACATCCAGCCTGCCTTCTTCCGAGGACATGTAACATGTAATTACCAGCCTATGGACTAGAAGCTTCGGCTACAAAACCTTGGAGAACAACCCTCTGCGTTCTCCAGGAAATAGATGAGGTCGAACAACCGGCCAAGATTAAAAATGTGTTGGTACTTTCAATCAAGAAGATCACCTTCTGGCATACACCCACCTCATATACTTACAGGGGTTGGATGAAGCCGCATGGTGTTGCTTCTTCCCAGCTACCCTAAAGGGCATAGCCCAACAGTGGTTCGGCAACTTATCAGCTGGTTGTATCAACAGCTTTAAGAAGCTTGCGTTCTTGTTTGCTTCCAGCTTCTCTATGAATATCCCTTCCAAGAAAACAATTCTCGACCTAAGAAATGTGCAGCAGGGGGATAGAGAAGGGATGCACTCCTACGTCAGGCGGTTCAATCTGGTGAGAATCCAAATTCAAGGGTTGTCTGATGAGGTAGCCTATACAAACTTCTTTAAGGGTCTGAAGGACGCGTCGACCTTCAAGTTTGAACTCATCCGCAAGAAAATCTTCACCCTTGAAGGAGCTCTGATAGAGGCGGGAGCCTATATACAAGCGACCGAACTCTGCTCCTCAAATAAGCAGTCGGACTCCAAAAAGTCTGACAGGCAGAAGGAGAGTCGGCCTATTCAGCCGTCTCTAAAACTTGAAGAGAACAAAAAGAAAAAAGAAATCTAGGCGGTTGATAACTCTGATCAGCCGACTCAGAAGAAGAAAAAAGAGTGGAAACCGTACGTTACAAGGTACGAGTTCCACAAGGATAGTTACTATACCCTCATGGAGATAAAGGATCGGCAGACTTTAGAGAAGCCGACTCCAATGAAAGGTTCCGCTGAAAATTGGAACAAAAACAAGCACTGCCATTACCATGAGGATGTCGGCCATGACACCGACTACTTTGGACTCAAGCGAACGCTTGATCGTTTGGCCGACAAAGCGGTGTTGAAATCTTATGTGAAGTCTAAAGTGACTTCCAAAGCGAATCCGGGGTAGTCCAGATAAAAGACTCCCCAACTTACTAGTAGTTCCAAAATCGATTAAGTGCAAGTCTACACTATAATAGGCGGATTCGCTGGAGGTGGGCCGATCATGCGGGGCACCAAGGACCATCTTAGAAAGATGGTCCATTCTTTTGAAAAGGGACATGCGGCTGGCACGTCCGCTCTCCCTGAAGTCATCATCACCGAGAAGGACATGGGTAAAGTCCGTCGGCCGCATTATGACCCTATGGTCATAGAATGCAAAGTGGCCAACCCAAAAATTGGCCACATCCTGATTGACACAGGAAACTCCTTTGACATCATCAGCCGCAAATGCCTATCTAACACAAATATAGGCCAGAGAGCATGCATGATGTCTCCTATCCACTTGCTGGATTTGGGGGAGGAGTTGTGCACCCAGTTGGACGGATAGATCTACATGTCCGGCTGGGAGAGAAGGGTAATGGTCAGCACATGATCATCCGGTTTTTGGTGGTCAAAGAGTTGAACGCCTATAACCTCATTCTTGGCCGACCCACTCTTAATGAGTACAAGGTTTTCATCGTCCCTTATCTCATGCTGGTTAAGTATGAGAGGGATAATGGAACTGTTGGCTCCTTGAACGAGGACTAGAAGACGACTTGAGAATGATATCTTTCGGACGTGAAGCCTGCGGTAGCTGTAGCCAGTAAGGGAAAAGATCCAATAGACCTTGATGAAATCAAGGATGATCATCCGACCCCACCAGCCACCAAGAAAAGAAAAACTAACCAGCTAGTGGTGGTCAAAAAAAAATTGCAATCACTGACCGGGGAAGGGTCAGATGACATCCGTCCTCAGCCATTTGGTGAGCACATTGATATTCCTCTGGATGACAGTCGTCCAGAGCGAACTGTTAGGGTAGGGATGGTTACTTTTGTATTGATAGGTGCAAACTTGCACCATCTACTGAAAGAATTCAAAGACATCTTTGCCTTTGAAGTGGAAGTGATGCCAGGTATCAGCCAGGATCTTGCTGTCCACAAACTCGCCGTGGATCCAAAACAGAAGGCCATTCGACAAAAGAAAAGAAATCACAGCGAGGAGAGAAGTCAGGCGGCAGCCACCAAAGTAAAAAAGTTGTTAGACGTTGGGTTCATTCGGCAATGTAACTTCCCTGACTGGGTTGAGAATGTTGTGCTTGTAAAGAAGCCGAATGGTACCTAGCGCATGTGTGTTGACTACACTGACTTGAACAGAGCATGTACGAAGGATAGTTATCCACTTCCAAAGATCGACAGTCTGGTTAACACTACAGCCGGACATGCCTTGATGAGTTTTATGGACGCCTACTCAGGCTTCCACCAGATTCCCCTGTGGAAAAAAGATCAAGAAAAGACGGCATTCGTCACTGATCAGGGGTTATTCTATTACACTGTGATGCTGTTTGGCTAAAAGAATGATTCTACTACTTTACAATGAATGATTAA